GACGGGGTTTCACCATGTTGACCAGGATGGTCTCGATCTCTTGACCTCGTGATCCACCCGCCTTGGCCTCCCAAAGTGCTGGGATTACAGGCTTGAGCCACCACGCCCGGCCTGTCTTTTTTTTTTTTGAGACGTTTTTTTTTGAGACGGAGTTTCGCTCTGTTGCCTAGGCTGGAGTGCAGTGGCGCAATCTTGGCTCACCGCAACCTCCACCTCCCAGTTTCAAGCAGTTCTCCTGCCTCAGCCTCCCGAGTAGCAGCTGAGATTACAGGCATGTGTCATTATGCCCAGCTAATTCTGTATTCTTAGTAAAGACGGGGTTTCTCCATGTTGGTCAGGCTGTTCTCGAACTCCCGACGGATTCACCAGCCTCGGCCTCCCGAAGTGCTGGGATTACAGTTGCGAGCCACCGAACCCAGCCCCTCTTGTCCCTTTTTATTGATTACATCCTGGTCTAGAAATCAAGTATTGAAAAAATTAGCGTAATGCAAATTTCTATACTTTTCAAAAACGACTGGATCAAACTGCGTCACTAGGGTTTTAGTGTTGTGATCCCGACTGCATTTAATTCCATTAAACAAAGTTCAAACTACCAATATGTGTAGTTTTTGAGGGAATTTAGCCACATGTAACTCGCATTTAGGCTTTTTAAAAAAGTATGTCCTCTGACATTAACTATTCATATATACGCAAAAAACAATACATCACCGGGACAGTGAGGGAGGGGGGAGACGAATGTTTATTCTTGGCAAAGAGGATTCTAAAAGAGGGAAAAAGTAAAAACAAGTATTTTCAAAGTATCAGTTCTTGTTCCCAACAGGCTTATCAGCTCACCGCAACCCCTATACTCCCTTAGCACCTGAATATTAAGTTCTAAAAGCATCATAAAACGTTTGGCACAGTGCCTGGCATTACGCGCCTTTACATACGTTATTCTTCTGCCCGTCTTCAGACCTTGCCAAGGAGAGAAATAAGAACCGGCGCGAATTTACACATAAAACAAACAAAACTGGCTTCTGGAAAGAGGCCAACCGCGCCTGGGCGAGTGAATGCCCCACAGGGACGACTCGGAGCTTGATTTCGGCGGGGTACGCAGTCTTGGTCACCCCCAGAGCCCGAGAAGACGCTTCTGTCCCCGCCCCGCCGCACGCACGCACACCTTACCGGAGCGCCGCGCCAGGCTGCCCGCACGCCCAGAGCTCGTCCACGGTTGGCAGCACCAGAGGTTGCATGGCACGGCCCGCCTAAAAGCTACCCAGCCCTCCCCAGGCGAGATCAGTGCGCCGGAAGTGGCGTACCGGAAACAGGCGCGCCGGAAGTTGCGTTTTCGGGAACGTTTGTCTCGTCACTCAGCATCCGGGCTCTGGGGACCGAGTATTGCTCCGTGGCTTTTGTTTGAGCGGCCGCGACCTCTGCCCGTTGCCGGTTACCTTCGCTAGGGCGGGCAAGCACCTAGGGTCCCTACCCACCTGGGTCCGAGTCAGGCCCAGGGCTAGCCGGCTACGTGGTTTCTCTCCTCGCTTTAGTACAGGGGTCAGGTTAGAGAGCGCCGTGGCTTCCCAGGGAGGCAGAAGCCGAATTTGTCGCAGCCTCAGGACCAGCAGTCAGAGCCGCCAGATCTTAATCCGCTTGCAAGGCGCAAGCCTTCCACGGGCACGCGCTGTCAGCACTCCACTATCACACTTCCCTTGAATAACACTCTTATCTCTGCTGTCAACACCACACTGCACTTCCCTTGAATAACTCCACAAATTTGTGCTTGTCTTCAGGCCTTGCCCAGGTAAAAGACCTGCCCACAAGGGACATTTTGCTGCACATGAGCTTTTTAAAAAGTTAGGTTTAGGCCGGGTGCGGTGGCTCACGCCTGTAATCCCAATACTTTGGGAGGCCGAGGCGGGCAGATCACCTGAGGCCAGGAGTTCCAGACCAGCCTGATCAACATGGAGAAACCCCGTCTCTACTAAAAATGCAAAATTAGCCTGGTATGGTGGCGCATGCCTGTAACTCCAGCTACTCAGAAGTCTGAGGCAGGAGTATAGCTTGAACCTGGGAGGCAGAGGTTGCAGTGGGCCAAGATTGCACCATTGCATTCCAACCTGGGTAACGAGCGAAACTGTCAAAAAAAAAAAAAAAGTTATTAAGGTATAATTTATACACAAGTACAAATAGATGAACTCTGAAAATGCACGCTGTCCTGGAACCAATCTAGATGGAAATATATTCATCATGCCAAAGGTTCATCGGACCCTTTTGCAGCCTATTTCCTTCTCCACTCACAGTCACACTGTAAGTAAATGAATATTTAATTACTGGACATGGTTAATTCTCACTTCCAGTAACTAGAACTCGGTCCAAGTAATGTAAGAGAGAAACCAGTCATTTAGACTTGGGACCAAATTCTCAAAAGCAGAGTTCAAAAAATAAAAAAGATAAAAAAACAGTCATTTAATGTACCAAACACAAAATGCACTGGAAAAAAGGATCATGATAAAGCAATTTTTTAAAGTATTTTTCCTGGCCGGGCACGGTGCCTCACGCCTGTAATCCCAGCACTTTGGGAGGCTGAGGCGGGCGGATCACGAGTTCAAGAGATCCAGACCATCCTGGCCAACATGATGAAACCGTCTCTACTAAAAAAATATAAAAATTAGCTGGGCATGGTGGCACGCGCCTGTAGTCCCAGCTACTGGGGAGGCTGAGGCAGAATTGCTTGAACCCAGGAGGCGGAGGTTGCAGTGAGCCGAGATCGTGCCACTGCACTCCAGCCTGGCGCCTGAGCAACACTGTCTCAAAAAAACAAACAAACAAACAAAAAAATCATTTTTTCTAAAGCCAAATGTAGCCGTGGGGGGTTGTATATCTCTACTTCTGTGATACTAATGTTAAGTTCCGATAACCTCCTATCAAACTAGCCAAAAATATATGTATATATATTTTTTGAGATGGAGTCTCACTGTGTTGCCCAGGCTGGAGTGCAGCGGTATGATCTTGGCTCACTGCAAGCTCCACCTCCTAGGTTCAAGCGATTCTCCTGCCTCAGCCTCCCAAGTAGCTGGGATTACAGGCGCCCATCACCACGCCCAGCTGATTTTTGTATTTTTAGTGGAGACGGAGTTTCACCATGTTGGTCAGGATGGTGTCAAACCCTTGACCTTAGGTGATCTGCCCGACTCAACCTCCCAGTGTTGGGATTACAGGCCTGAGGCACTGCGCCCAGCAAAAAAAATTCTTAATGCGCAGCACAGTGACCTTGCAGCTATCAGTGGGAATGTTTTTAAGTCATTCTTCACAATTTCAGGGCTTTTTCACTTTCTTGGTTGGATCCAACATCCAGAGAATTTAACACATCTTAGGCTGGGTGCAGTGGTTCACACTTGTAATCCCAATACTTTGGGAGGCCAAGGCAGGTGGATCAGAGATCAAGACCATCCTGGCTAACACAATGAAACCCCGTTTCTATTAAAAATACAAATTAGCCAGGCGTGGTGGCACACACTTGTAATCCCAGCTACTCAGAAGGCAGAGGCAGAAGAATCACTTGAACCCAGGAGGTGAATGTTGCAGTGAGCCAAGATTGCGCCAATGCACTTCAATCTGGGCAACAAAGCAAGGCTGTGTCTCACTTCTGGTGGTCCTGGTCTAGAATTAAAAAGACCGTCTCTCTCTCTCTCTTTCACACACACACACAAAGACATCTTCACCCTTTGAGGGGAGCTGCCTGCAAAAAGTGTAGAGAAATTTTGCACAACCATACTCCTTGGGCTCCATCACAGAGCTACTCAAACATCCAAGATTCTTGTAGGACTCCCTTTGCTAAAAAAGAAACACTGCATTATCATAAAGCCCACATGATTTTGGGTACATTAAGCTTCTGAAGAATATTAATTTTTGCCAACTAAAATGATGAAATACACAGGATTTGTTTGTTCTCTCTCATTTGTTACTTGAGCTCAAATTGGAATAACAAGTTTGACAAGTGAGTCCTCTAAAATATCTAGTAACCTACTGTATTTGAAATACTTTTTATCTTCACAGGTTGCTTTAAACTGAAAAAACATTCACACCAAAGGGTAGCTGTAGCTGGCAATTCAGGAGGATACTTCCAACAGTCCTGGTCCAAATGAAGGCACTGCCCCGTGATGTTTGAAATTCAAGTAACTTTATTTAAATTCAAAACCAATTCTTAAAACTGCATTTAGAGTCAAGACCCTTTTGTATTATAAAAATCACAAGTATTTTTAAGAGACAAAAATACTTCTAGGTTAATTAGACTGGATCTGACTTTGCAGAGATCTTTAAACAAACTGCAGAGAATAGAGAAAAAAATAGGTTATTTACAGATAACAATATCTACATATGTACTTAGAGGTACAAATTTGGTGACAGAAAAGACTTCAGTATATGCTGGCATCTCAGAAGCAGTTCTCAAAGAGCTTAGTTTTATTTTCTTGAATTTTAAGAATGCTTAATTAAGATCCTTCTTCATCCTCGATCTTGGGAGCCAAGTAGTACTTTAAGTGTCCCATATCAGCAATTTTATACTCTACAACTGAAAGACAGGACGATAGTTAATTACTGACAAGTATCACATATATTACCTACAAAATTAGGTTCAAATTTATTATCTTACCAAGGGGTACATCTGCAGACATACTGAGTGTCACTGTTGAAGAGAGTGGAGTGGCTTTTGTGAAGAAGTTCAGGTACCTCAGTGCAAAAGTTAATTGAACTGGTTCATTCATCTCTATGGTAACCTACAAGAGAAAACATTCATCATTAAAAACAGCAAGAAAGTTGCAATCTATTAGTTCATTATCTTAAAAGAAAAAACATACAAACACTTTCATTGGACACTTCAGAAGGAGCTATGAAAATTTTGAAGACTGTTACATAAAGCAAAAGAATCGAATATTTAGCTTGTTTTTCCTATATCGATTAATTCAGATAACCAAATTATGTGATATGGGAAAGCTTTTCTTTATAGAAAATTTTATAATGAGCAGCCAATAAATTAATGAAACATTAATTTCAGCTCTGGAAATGCTAATTAAGGACTTAATGGATCTAGACAATGATTAGTATAGCTGCTAACAAACACTGCAAAGACACCCAGACACCCTGTGCCTCCTACTAGAATCACATACTACCAACTATAAAGTATTCTTGCTCTCCCACCCCCAAAACAAAACATCCTTAATATCATCAAGGCCCCAGGGCTGTAGCTACCAGTTTGTAGGACATACAGGATAGAGGAATTTATGTATACACAGGGATGCAATCAGCAAAATCCAAACTCTGGAAAACCTAACGAATGATCTAATTTCTTTAACAAATAGCTTGTAATGGAAGAGAGAAAATGAAATTAGGGGGAACCAAGCTAGGTGTGGTGGCACACATCTATAGTCCCAGCTGCTTGGGAAACTGAGGTAGCAGGATCAGTTAAGCCTTGGAGATTGCACCACTGCACTCCAGCCTGGGTGGACAGAGCAAGACTGTCTCAAAAACAAAGAAAAACAGGAAAAAACAAAAAACCAAAAAAACCCCATGAGATTGGCATAGGAATGGAAATGTGATTCAGCAAACAGTATCAGCTCCTGGACTTTATTAATTAAAAAAAAAAAAAAAACTTTTTCAACTGAATTTCTTTTATTTAAACTAAAGGTAGACTATTCATTCAAGGGATAAGAAAGCAACATCTAGTATTTATTGTGAGCTCATAATGTGTCAGACATAGCATATGCTATTTAATCCTAACAATTCTACGAGGTTAGGACCTTTGTCCTTGATTTACAAAGTTTTGATTTATACTCAAGCTGCAGGGGAGTGGCACAATCTCAGCTCACTGCAACCTCTGCCTCCTAGTTTCAAGTCATCCTGTCTCAGCCTCCCAGGTAGCTGGGATTACAGGTGTGTGCCACCATGCCCGGCTAATTTTTGTGTATTTGATAGAGACAGGGTTTTGACATGTATTCTATTTTGGTTAAACAGGGGCTCTCTAGGCACTCTCAAAGTTGCATGGAGTCTGCTTTCTAGCTTTAGTGAGAAGTCTCCCTCCTGTTTAACCTTTGATTCCTACAGCCTGTGACTTTGGTCAAATTGCCACTTAAGGTTGCTCAGCCTGCTTCTCTACCTTTAGAATGGGCTACCAATTGGACCCACAACATGTAAGCTAATATAAGGATTACATAAGAGCTCATAACAGGTAGACTTTTACTCCTAACCATATCCTTCTGTTGAGTTGCTGACCTATGCTCAATTATTTGATAATAGAGTAAGTATCTCCAGAAACCTAAAGGTTAGACACCTAGCTTCCCAATTCTATCCTTAAGAGCCTGTGCGGGCTTGATCCATAAACCACTGTTCCGTGGTATGTACATGTGCTGAATTTGGATGGCACTTATAAGTCAATTGCAGATTTCAACAGTATCCCAATTTTCACAAATTACTTAAGGTACAATTCTGTCTACTTTTAATTTTAGCAATTAACCAAATGTTAAGTAGTATTAAAATTCTCTTCAAACTTAGGTACGTCTTTGTAGCAATGTGAAAAAAAAAAACAATTCTCTTCAAACTATTTTCTTTTTACTTAAAAACTACTTACGGCTTCCTCCTCTTTATCGACATTACTTGTCTGTGACAATTTAATGTTTCCATTTCCAAGTTCTCCACTTGCAGAAAATTTCACTCCGTCTTTTGCACAGGAAATTACGACAGCATCTCCAATATGGCTGAGATCTCGGCATATACGTGCAAATTCACCAGAAGGCATCTTTACTACACAGCTGTACTCTTGTTCCTATCAAGAACAAAATTTTTCCAAAAGTTAATTGTTAGAAACTTAATGATTAGACACTCTTTAAGAGGCAACATCTAAACAATTCAGAATCAAGATTTTCTGATTACTTTTAAAATATGGCTCAGATAATTTCTTAACCTCCAACCACTCAAAAAAATAAATGGAGATTAAATGCTCCATCCAGGGAACAAGAGCCTCCTCCTAATCATCCTCCAGGGATAAAGCAAGAGGACATTAGAGTATGCCACAGAAATGATGATGGTGCAAGCAGGCCTAACTACTTTCTAAAAAAAACCTAAGAATATGACATTAGGCATTTTCAACATTCCAACATTTCTTTTCTCCTTTGCTGTTTATAAACCTAACCTGGATAAATTTCTTCTAAGACATCTTTAAAATACACTTAATAAAAACCAAGCATTCTAGAAGGAAAAAATTTTTAAAAGAGGTTCATAGAAGTTCATGCAAATAGACAACTGGCAGTAAAGAATAAATACAACCAGTTTTAGGCTTGTGGTAAACAACTACTATTCAAATACTAAAAATCTGTCTTTGAAACATGCACCAGTAGATACATTTCTAGAAAAGTTTTATGAAGTAGGCTTAAATTACATTAACATATCTTGAGTGGGGAGGATTGCTTGAGGCCAGGAGTTCCAGACCAGCCTGGGCAAGACCGTCCCCGCCCAGACACAAAAATAAAAAAATTAGCCAGGCGCGGTGGGACAGGCCTGTAGTCCTTCCTGGTCACTTAGGGACTGAGGCAAGAGGGTTGCTTGAGCCCAGGAGTCCCAGGTTACAGTGAGCTATAAGGCTCCACTAAACTCCAGTCTGGGCAACAGAGCAAGACCCTGTGTCGGGAGGGGGACGGACGGATGGACTGACAAAAATTTTACCCCACATTCTATTACATAACTATCATGCCTGTGTACAGTACTCCCTACAATCAGAAATTGATACTCACAGGAATTCCAAGTTGTTCAACATCCAAATCCATCAACTTCATTTCATAGTCTGAAACCTTCTCCTGGTCTACCAAAAGAAAGCAAATGCTGTTGTGAAATACTGATACAGCGTTCTGATTTTCTGTAGCTTCACAACTCAGTAAAAAGGTATGACTTACTTGGTGCTTCAAATACTAGCGCCAAGGTATCCGCATTATCTTCAGCCCTTAGTGTAATGATATCTTCATTGCCCGCGCATTTTAGTATTTTGGACATACTAGAAGACAGGAGACACATGGTTTAAAATCAACACCATCTGCTAAAGGTCTGTATTTCTAAAGCAGTTAGTTAGAAGGGGTTACCACTCTCACCCATCAGGCCATCTCAGAACTGGTGGAGAGTAAACGTACTGCTGGAGGATGTGAATATTAATGCAGACATTTTGGGATGCATCTGGCAGTATTTATACCAAAACGCCACCAGCAGTTTCCCTTCTGGATACAAGCAATCTCCTGCCACCAAGTAGGATGACAGGCTGACACATTCTCGCAAGGGCACATTATAAACCATTTAAAGTCAGCCGCGACTGAGCCGGGTGGATCGCCTGAGCCCAGAAGTTGGAGATCAGCCTGGGCAACACACCGCGACACCGTCTCGAAAAAGAAGTCAGCCAAAACTAAAGCGTCCATTCAAGGCCATCGGAACATAAGGAGCCAGAGCCCTGGAGCAGTGTTCCTGGCACTGCAGAAAAACCAGTCATTTTCCCGCCACCACTCGCTTTGTGACTTTGGCGCGAAAAAGCGGGTTCGCGCTGCAGCAGCCAGCGCGGGCTTTTCGGAACCGCGCGCTCGGCTGGGCCCCACCCACCCCCGCGTGGCAAGCCAATGAGAAGGCGCAGATGGCCCACGCCAGCCAATGAGGGCTCGGCTCGGAAGCGCTCCCGCCAAGAGCCGGAGATAGGGGTGGGCCGGAGTCGGCTCTCGGCGCTGCCGGGCTCACCTGGTGAGGTTCACGCCCATGGCCAGGTTGCGGTCGCAGCGGTACGTGTCGAAGCCCTCGGACCGCAGCGTGAGCTGCACCAAGGAGACGTGGGACGAGTCCATGCTCTGCAGGTTTACGCCGCTCGAGCTGATGTCCCAGCAGGCCTCGTTGATAAGGTCCTTGAGTGCCTCCAACACCTTCTTCAGGATGGAGCCCTGGACCAGGCGCGCCTCGAACATGGTGGCAGAGTGGCACCAACGCGGCTACAGGCAGGCGGGAAGAAGCAAAGTCTAGCCCGTTTCGGCTTCAGGAGTCTCAGAGCGAGCGGGCAAACGTCGTGACGGGAGGCTGAGCCTTAGAAAGGCGACGACAGCTCCCCAACGCCTGCAACCGTTTAATGCCGGCGGGTCCGCAAGCGCGCGCTCTCACCCTGCGCCGCGTTGCGACGTCACCACGTTGCCACGCCCACGGCCTGCGCGGGGACACTTTAGGGCCAATCGTGTCCCTGCTCCCCGCGAGGCCCGCCCTCCTAGAACGTGCATTGGAGGATGCAGGCGCAGGGCGAGGCAGCGTTCCGCAGGTCTCCCCGCCTCTTTGCCTGACTCCTGAACCCGGCCGCTGGACGAGCTCGGGCGTCTGTGGGGATCAGGCCCAGGCCTCTCGGTTCGTCAAGCCCCAGCTTTGTGGTGCCTCCTCAGCCTCCCACTTCGTGGGCAGAAAGTTTCCAGCCACGAAAGTGAAAGCGAAATGCAAGTCAAGCCTACCGGGAGGAAAAACCTCCTTGCAGCCTGAAGAATACAGCTGCTGCAAATATGCTCTTTATTTTTACAGAATTGATGCGCTCCTAAGTGTCACCTGATAGACAGGTGAGCTGTTCCGTTAAACTTAGCTCTCCATCACCCCTTTAACATTCCCCCATCAGCTCTTAGAATCAATCGTTCACTGTATAAAGCTTTTAAAGCTTTTTTAAAAGTATGAATACACATCTTTTTCAAAATGCGTTCATTCCGTAAACACTTCGAAAAAGTATTTAATAAAGTACATTTAATTTTATGCCACATTTTTTAGTATCAGTACCTCTTTAAAAAGATAGCATCACATGTGTGTAACCTAATTTATCAAGCCCCTGTTGTTAATTACAAACACCTTTGAGTACTTAGGTAATTTTGGTGTCATCAACTCCTTGAAGTAATACGGCTGAGTCAAAGAGCGTATACCTTTAATTTTTTTTTTTTTTTTTTTTT